TTCATTATGATCTCACTATATTTATAACGGTGGTATAGTTATGTAGGGTTATATAACTGCCTAATACATTCAAGAAATCTTAATATATATCCCCATGGGGGGGGGGGGGAATTCAGGTATCCTTTTAGGTTCGTTTTGAGTACATTCCAATTTTTGAATCATTAATTTTCAAGTTTCATCCGAAATTTTGGTTCTAATTCTGTTTAAATTTTTGTTGACTTGGGTTGGGTTCAGATAACCCAAATAAACAAAATAAAAATACCTATACTAGACATAAAAATAAATAAATTGAATAATGTATAATATTGAATAGTGTATGTAAAAAAAATACCTATACTAGACATAAAAATATTTGGGTTGAATATTGGGATGCGAAACCAATAGATATGTTTAAGTATATTTGGTGTTTTAAGTATTGTTAGATGTTGCCCAAAAAAAAAAAGTATTGTTAGATATTTTAAATATTTACATTAAACTATTTGTATATAGTTTTAAGTATTTTGGACAACTACAAAATATCTTATATATTTCAGATATTAAATCTAAAAGATAACTATTATAGTATATAAATATGAGTCAGATATGTTTGGCTACCCGAATAGTTCAATCACAGAATTTTTAATGGTGCCACTTCAACACCTAGTTTACGGATACTCAAGACCTTTAACCTGAGAAAGCTAAAAGTCCATTTATGCACAGTGATCCCAAACCTGATTCTACCCGCTTTTTTTCTTATTTTTTTCCTTATTTTCTTGAACTGGTTTTTTTCATTTGTGGTATATTCGCAATATCATAAAATGAATCTGTTTACCTCAAACGAAACTAGAACTAATGCCAAACATAAACACCAAAATTACCACAAATTTGCAGGAAAAGGCAAAAATTTGGCTGGTAGAATTCCGTTTATATTGGTTAAATTTTTTTCTGTTGGTCAAACTGATCGGTTCAAATAATATAAACTAATGTATTCAGTTTTTGACGTAAGTACATAATCCTGCTACCTTTCATATTTGTCATTAGTACATAACAGATATCCTTTTAGGATCGTTTTGAGTATATTTTGATTTTTGAATTAGTAATTTTAAAGTTTCAGCCAACAATTTGGTTCTAATTCTGTTTAAGTTCTTAGAAGTTAAATTTATATATTAAAATTTTTCAAAATTTCAAAATAAAAATAATAGAAAGTATATAAAATTGAATAATATATGTAAAAAATACCTAAACATGTTTTATTAGAATATTTGGATGGAAACCAATAGATATGTTTAGGTATATTTGGTGTTTTATGTATTATTAGATATTTTAAATATTTATTTTAAACTATTTGTATATAGTTTATGTATTTTGGACAACTACAAAAATATCTTATTAATTTTGGATATTAAATCTAAAAAATAACTAATAAAGTATATAAATATGAGTATATTTCACTACCCGAATGGTTCAATCACATAATCTTTAATGGTGCCACACCAACACCTGGTTTACGGATAACCAAGACCTTTGTACCTGAGGAAGCTTAAAGTCCATTCATTCATAGTGGTCTCGAAATGGATTGTACGGGTCTTTTGTTTTTTTTTTCTTGAACCGATCTTTTTGATTTGTGTGGATACTGTAACGAAAGCCAAAATTCAACACAAAATTACAACATAATTTTCGAGAAAAACCAAAATCTGCCGCGTAAAATTTGGTTTATATTGGTTAATTTGGTTACTGTTGGCCGAACTAGTATAGTATATAAATATTAGTCATATATATTTGGCTACCCAGATGGTTCAATCGCAGAATCTTTAATGGTCCCATTCCAACATCTGGTTTACGGATTGTCAAGATCTTTGTACTCGAGGAAGCTAAAAACCCATTCATTCACAGTGGTCCCAAACCGGATTGTACCGTTCTTTTTCTTCTATTTTTCCTTATCTTCTTCAACCGGTCTTTTCATTTGTATGGTATAATTCAATAATATCATTAACTGAACGAGACTGCCTCAAACAAAACTGGAAGTAGTGCCAAAAAATAAACCCAATATTACCAAAAATTTGCCGGAAAAGGCAAAAATCTGTCGGGTAGAATTCGATTTATATTAGTTAATTTGATTGCTACTGGTCGAACTGATCTGTTTTAATAATGTAAACCAATGAATGCAATTTTAGAAGTAAATAAATAATCACGTTCCCTTTCATATTTTTCAAACAAATTATAATTTTGCCAAATGTTTATACCAACACGTAAAATCTTAGTCATTTCATAGACATTCGATACCGATTTGTACGATTGCATTATGATCTCATTATATTTATAGACGTATTATATTTAGATTATATAACTGCCTAAAAATTCCAGAAATCTTAATATTAATCATCATAGGGGCGGGAATTCAGGTACCCTTTTAGGTTCATTTTGAGTATGGCCATGTTCGTTTAGTGGTCGCCAGCGTCAGTGACTAGAGTCAGCGACCAGCGACTACGACTTGATGTCGCTGATAGTTGCTCGTTTGGTGGTCGCTAGCGTCAGCGATTGATTGCAGCGGTTGTCGCTAAGTTGTTCGTTTCAGTGTCATTTGCGACCAGTTCTTTACATTTAAATTATTATTTTTTGACGAAAAATATGATTATAGTTATTTTTTTTAAATTCATTTTCAGTTAAATTATTAAAAATTCATAAACAGAAAAAAACAAAAAATATTAATATTTTTTACTAAAAAATAAGTATAAAATACAAAAAATAGAAAAATTATAAAGGTACTTGTAAAATAAGTTCAATGTTTAGTGTTTATTGGTTGAGATTTTCTGGATTTTCTGGGTTTGTTGCAAACATGTGGGTATACATAAACCAATGTATTCAGTTTTTGACGTAAGTACATAATCATGCTACCTTACAAATTATAATTTTGCCAAATATTTATACCAACACGTAATATCTTAGTCGTTTCATATACATTTGATGGGGGTTTATATGATTGCATTATGATCTCACTATATTTATAGAGGTAACATTGTTATGTTGGGTTATATAACTGCCTAAAACATTTTTAAAATCTTAATATATATCTTTATAGGGACAGAAATTTGTATACCCTTTAAGACTTGTTTTCAGTATATTCTGATTTTTGAATTACTAATTTTAAAGTTTCGCCAAAATTTGGTTTCTAATTTGGTTTAAACTTTTGTGGATTAAGTTTGGGTTTGGATAACATGCTTTAACTGTTTTTAGAATTTTCATTTATAGATTAAAATTGCCAATTTTTTTAAAAAAATATATATAAACTAGGTGGCTTCCTGCACCATGTGCAGAAAGAAAAGTTTTTAAAATAAATTTATATTTAAAAATAAAATTTAATTACTTTTTAAATTTGTTATTTTATTACATTATTAATTTTACATTAATTATATGTAAAAATTAAGGGAAAATAAACAGTTTTATTTAAATATATGAAAGTTCTCTCAAATAATTTTTTTTAGGTTTTTTCACAAAAATAGATCTTAAAACTAAAATGACTAACACAGCATTTTTTATTTTGAAAATTTCAATTTTTTAAAAAAATAAATTTGTAATCATATCCCAAAACCCCACTCCTCAACTTTAAACAAAAAAGTTTACGATTAGTTAACCCAAAGGATATAAGTGTATATTTACTTATTTTTGATAAAACATTTAAGTCTATATTGGTCATTTTTATTTTAAGGTCTATATTTGTGATTACAACTTTTTTAAGTCTATCTTAAAAAAAATTTCTTAAAATTATATTTAATAATATATATGTATCTTTTATCTTTTGGTTAAATTATATTAAATCAGATTCTATACTATTAAGAGAAAATTTTGTTAGATATATAATTATCAAAATATAAAACTAAATTATATTTCTAATATTTATAGATGTTATAAATAAAGCTAATGGTATTGGGATTAGAAACTTTTAATTTTTAAAAACACTGCATAAAATTTTGAAAAACAAAATTTATTAATAAAAAATAGATAATTAAAAAATAGATAATTAAAAAATACACTTAAAAATATTTCAATATTTGTAATATTATTATATTTATATTTCTACTATTATATCATTTATTATCTTAATGATAATTTATGAGTTCTTTTTCTTATCACTATTTTAATACAAATTTTTGTTTAATCAAACATAAAAAGTAATATAAAAATATTTTTGTTTATTTTAAATTATATTTAAGAATATGCATGTATATATTAAATTATAATCTTAGATAATTTTTTATCTATTTATTTTACTTAAATATATTAAATAAATTTGTAGAAAATTTTATAATTATCAAAAATTAAAATTAGACAATATTTATTAAATTTTTAAATATATAAGAAATTAATAATTTTAGGATTAAATTTTAATAATTTTCAAAAAATGTATACATTTTTGAAATTTTTGTTACAAAATTGTATAGTTTTAAAATATATAATTAAATGATAATTTCAAAAATTTTAATGCTATATTGGTATATATTTATTTTAATGATGATTTATTAGTTATTACCATATTTTAAAAATATTTCCAAAAATATAAATCGACAATAAATGTAATATATGAGTTGTTACCATATGCTATAAAGTTTTCCAAAAATATATATTAACATTAAATGCAATTGTCAATGTCATATTTAATCATATGACATGTTATCAATTCTAATAGACATGTCACCATTTTTTTGTGAAACTGATTATAAAGAGGACATGTGGCAAAATCACTTCACAAATAATATATAGGGGATTAAATAATGTATGTAATAAATACCTAAATTTGACATAAAATGTTTGGTTTGAATATATGGGAGGCATGTGTGTATACATGTATAGAAAGATACATATACGATTATATAATTTCAGTTTAAATGTTATTAAAAAAAAAGGAATAAAAATATAAACGCCAAAAATAGAATTCTAGTAGTAAACTAGACTAGTGGTCATATATATATATAAATAGAAGAGGGCCTGTAGAATAACATTTTATTAACAGATTATTATTCCACGTGAAATCAAATCAAATCAAGACTCTCTCTCTTGCTCGCGCTCTCTATCATTCGCCGCCGACGCGCCACCGCAATCTCTATCATTCGCCACCGCAAAACTCAGAGATGCCTTCGATCTTTTCGTCAATTCCGGAAGACATAGTGCATCGCATCTTGGCTCGCTTGCCCAAATGCTATCACCCTATGATCAGGGGTCTCTCAAAGGAGTTTGGTCATCTTATTAGGTCGCCGGAGATTGAGAAGATCCGTGCCCGACTGAGTAAAGATTCGATGTACTTGTACAGCGAGTACACACCTTCGGTGATGGTAGCGGTTGGGCCAGAGATTTTCTGGATTAGCAGAGGGTCATCTCCTCAATCTGTGATGTCTGTGTTTGATTCAAGAACAGGGAAGGTTAGGAAAGGACCAAGTTCCACGGCTCCAAGATGCGTAAGATGTGCCGCTGCGGTTGAAAGGAAGGTCTATGTCATTGGCGTTAACCCTAAAGATGAAGAAGGAGTGTATGTTGAAGCCTTTGATGTTAAGACACAAACCTGGGAGTGTGGGCCAGTTCCTGAGGAGAATGTGGAAGGTAGATGTGGTGTCGCACTAGACAGGATGGTTTGTGCTTTAAGTTCAACTCTTGAAGACATCCCTAACTGCTACAACACTAGAGATGGGTCTTGTGATTTCATCAAAATGGCCAAAGAAGACTCGTGGGGATCAACAGGTGCTTGTGTGATACACAACATTCTGTACGTGTATTACGCTGAGATGGGGTTGGCTTGGTACGACACTAAGGATAAGATCTGGAGGAAAGTTAGTAACTTGGACCCTCTCAACAAGCTTAAATCTGTAGCTTTGGGTGACTATTATGGCAAATTGGCGCTTCTGTGGGAGAAAGAGAGTGAGGGTTGTGGTGACACAAAGGAGGTTTGGTGCCAGATGATTGGTTTGGCGAGGATTGAAGGAGCTGTTCGTGGGACTGCTGAAACGTCTCACCTTCTGGGGAGTATCCCTCGTGACTACAGGCTTCAGGAATGTCTCTCTGTCTGTGCTTAAAGGTTGTCTATCCCTCCCTGTAGATACACTGCGTATATGATGAACTTCTCCCGCAAGTCTCTCTTGTTTCCCTGCAGTTTCTTTTAGATATGACTATTCAATCTTTTGTTTGTGGAGTCAAAGTTCTCTGATATTGGATATTATAACCTCTTGCAAGTTTTGTAGATAGACTCTGCAGTTTCTTTCTTTAGATAGTTGCTTGAACTTGAGCTTTCATACTTGCCTTTGTGGTTATGACTTATGAGGAAACGTTCTGTTTTGTACAGTTTTGTCATGCTTTTTTTGGTCCTTGAAGTTACATGTATAAACTCATCACATAACAATCGTACAAATAACACAAAAAACAACCTTAGCTAAACCAAAGTGTAGCTTCATTCTCCCCCACTGATAAGAAGGTCTTAACCACCTCCCCCCCCCCCCCCCCCCCCCCCC